CAAAAGAGTTAGATTTTTTTGTTTTGTTTTTGTTTTTTTTCTCCGGTACTGGGAACCGAACTCACGACCTTGCGCTTGCCAGGCAGGCGCTTTTGCCACTGAGCTAAATCCCCAGTCCCAAGCACAATTTCTGTTAGTACTCATTTTCTCAGGGGGTTAAAACAGACCCTTCAGAAGCCAAGTGCATTAGTGCAAGCCTGCAATCCCAGCTACTTGGGAGACTGAGGCAGGAGGATTGCCTGAGTCCAGCCTGAATGACACAGCCAGACCCTGTCAAACAAAAGACTAAAACATAAAAAAACCTTTAGAAGCTGCTTTAATTTTTACAGATACTATGATGTCACCTGGTGTGGATTCTGTCTTTTGGCCTTCCGAGGGTATCTACACTCCTAGCCATTTCAACTGCCCAGCATGTCTGTGTCAAATCAACGCTCCTACACACAAGTGCACTCCCAGTGTCTCATTTCCCCTTATCAAAAGGAAGAAAAGTGGCAGGGAGAGGAGCAGCCTCACTGGAAGTGCTTTAGGAGGCCATCGCTGAATGTAACAAAGGTGGATGCACCATTACCAGCTCAGGACAAAGAAAATCTCACAAAATAAATTTCAGACTTCTGTTTATTAAAAAGAAGCACCAAGTAGTAACATGATAGATCAAGTTTTTTCAATTGGATTTGCTAATTTTGTTTTTGTTTTTCTCCGGTACCGGGAATCGAACTCACGACCTTGCGCTTGCCAGGTAGGCGCTGTGCCGCTGAGCTAAATCCCCAGCCCTGATTTGCTAATTTTTGTAAGGACACAATCTTGTTTTAAGTATGAGTCTACTGTTAAATTTCAAGTTCTCATTCCTTTGGGTTTTTTTTTTGACAGGATTTTGCTATGGCATTCAGGTTGGCCTTGAATGTGCCGCAATCCACCTGCCTCAGATCTACCTGCCTCAGCCTCCCGTGTGCTGGGGTTACAGGCCAGCGCCGCTACATCTGGTACAAGTTGTCTCTTCTCACACACTACATACACAGCGAGCATCCTGGCTGCCAGTCCTAGTTTCTACAAAGAACAAAACTCTGAAAGCATCCAAGAAGTGATCTACATGCAAAGTTCTTCTAGACTTTAAGATTTCCCTCCCCAGTTTTCTCCAGTTTGTTCGTCTATAACTGAGAAGTGATATCTAAGTGACTTGCATTTACAGTCCAGCCAAATCATCTGAAATACGTCTCACAGAACTATCCTTTTTGAACTTACACTTGAGTGGTTCATGTCATGTTTAAATTGCATAATTACAATAACAAGTACAATAAACACACACAGACACAGGAATACATACAAGTGGCTCTCTGTAAGTCCCCCGTACAGCTTCTGGGAGGCCATGGCTGGGGACCCCGACCCAGCGGCACACCCTCCCTGGCCAGGGCTGGCGGAAGTGGAGGTCGGACAGGAGCCTGTCCCTGCACATCAGGTTACAGACTATAGGAGACACCTCTGTTATCACAAATACTCACAACTCAAAAATGCATCAAAATGTTAACAATTAGTAGAATGTATAAGAGGGAGTTTTTCTGGTTAGTTTATCAAGAGTAAAAAAAAGGCAGAATTTTGGAAAAAGAAAATTTTCATCATGCTGCTGGATCTGTTTCTGCCCCTAAACCCTCAGCCCCACTGTCCCAGAGTCCAGAAACCTCCATGCTCACTCAACTGGCTCAGAATTTCAGCCGCCATCACTGCAGGCCTATAAATAAAGCTTTCTGAAAAAACCTAAAATAAAGCTTTCTGAGGCCAACAAAAGAGAATGCTGAAGTGTTTGATTCAAGGTCAATTATCCGCGAATATTTTCATCTCTTCTTCACACTGTGTGTCTCTTGGTTCTGTTTATATTTACATTACTGTTGTAACATGTGAGTAACGTTCTGTAAACTATTCCATCTTGATTAAAGTCATTAGTGCCTATTAAAAAATAAAGTTGAGTGGAATGTCCTATTAAGTGTGAATTTCACTTTCCCACAATGTGTGGCAGCTAATACTTCCAGTCTCTGGCGTGTCTACTGAGAACATTAAAGTTCTCCTGGAACTAACAAATCACTTCCCTTCCAACACAATTATATAATCTGCAAGTTAAACAGTGCCCTGGAGATTACTCTGTGGCCCCAAATCCCTCCCAATTAAAGGACCCCAGCTGAACTACTTTGGGCAGGGAAGGCCTTCTTTTAATGCCACAGAACAGAATGCTGTATCCACAGTAGGCTCTTTACTTCAAACACACTTATCTGACTGAACCGAACAAGTCTAAAATGGGCACATTTCATTCATTTTCTTGTTCTCCCCAGGCTTTAGCCGTAATACCCAACGAAGCTGTAATTAAAGATTTACATGATTCTTCTGCTCATTAGCCAATGTTCAAAAAGAAATTCACTGAAGGAAACACCATAATTAAGCAAATGTGGTAACCCATTTCGAAAACGTCTCTCTTCTGAGAGGCTGAGGCAAGAGGATTGCAAGTTTGAGCCCAGTCTGGGCAACTTCGAGACTCAATGAAACTGCTGTAAAAATGGAAAGGGCTGGGGACGTGGCTCAATGCAAAGGCCTTGGGATCAATCCCCAGTATCGAAAAACAGTTATCTTCTTTTAACAGTTTAAAATCGTAAGCACCTAGGATCAAATTGTAGGCCTGGGGTGACTTGCAAAAGGCAGCTGGGTTAACAACATTAACACTGCTAATGTCAGTAGCAAATAAAACCTGTAACAAGAAAATGGAGAATCAAATCTGTGCTTATGATCTAAAAAGGATTCCAACGTATCCAAAATACTCACGTGCTTTCAATTTCTAGTACGATTTTAAAAAACAAAAGGTCTTGCATCATTCATATGACTCAATTACACAGCCTTCTACTTATAATTGGGGTGCTCACAGACTTCACCACCGCAGTGTACTAAGAGATGTTATTATGCTAATTAGTCTTCCCTCCAGTTAACAGCCTGAGCCCATCTGATTTCCCATAATATAATAAAGAGAACAAAGCCTCTCGACCAGTAACCAATACCAAAAATTTTATTTTACTCAAGTACATCTTCCAAAACAGTACAAAATTTACAATGCGGCCCTACTTAGTACCACTATTACAATGCATCTTTGGACGGGGGCTTTTAGAACATATGCTAGCACACAAAGTATCCACTTCCAAATCTATTTTTATGCAAAAGCGCACACAAGCGATCCACTGCTCACCAGCACGAATAGTCCTTCACTGATTTTGTTCAGGCATTAATTTAAATTTCCACTTCCTCCTAAATACCTCTGGACAGCAACCCCTGGCAGGCTCGTCCGTCTCTTTCATCACAGCTTTTTTCATAACTAACGGGTCCAGTTCCTTTCCATTTCAACACGAAGCACTGTAGTGCGGCCCTGCCACCAGAGCTCACTGCTGAATGCCGGAACGCACAACACACTGCATTTCACCGTCCTGCATTGTTTGCAGTGTAACTGCCATCTTGCCACCATGCACGCGAGAGAAACGCGTTCCCACAGGCATCTTACGAATTCCCAGAGCAGCTATTCTTTGTGGATTTACAGAACATGTGCCTTCTCTGGACTCCCCTCATCGCCACAGAAACGGCTTGGGGAGGCCGAGATTGATTTACTTTCTTACTTGGGTAACTCCCTCCTCCAAAAAAAAAAAAAAAAAAAAAACAAAACAAAAAAACAAAAAACCTGATTCTAAAACGTTTTTATGTTCCTAGCAATTCTGATTTCCTAGCGGCTTCAATCCTAAGGGTCTTCATCGCACGGTCAGGGAAAGATGTGAAAATACTGTTTTGGATCTTCCCAAGGAAAATAAAAATTCTCGAGTCCACAAAACAAAACAACAGAATGATTTTATCAGGGGCTGGGGATTTAGCTCAGCGGCACAGCGCCTGCCTGGCAAGCGCAAGACCGTGAGTTCGATTCCCGGTACCGGAAAAAAAAACCAAAAAAACAACAACAAAAAAATTATTTCATCAGTTGTCTGTTGTTCTCCGGGCAACCCCGTAAGGGCGAAGCCGCACGCGGCGAAGCGGACAGCTGGCCGAGGCCGGTGCACGGCGCCCTAACTCTCCCCGAGCTGCCCCCCTCCGCCCCACGCGCGCCGGGGGCTCCGAAGCTCACACAACCCCCGGGCCAGCCCCACACCCGCCGCCGCCGAGGCACAAAGGCCGCCCGCGCCCCGTGCGCGGCCCGC